TTACATTAACCCTTGATTATATTGACATATTTAGAAAATTATTTAAATTTGTAATAATATTTAAAAGTTTTAACAATTTAAAAATGGTATCATAATTCAAATGTTAAAATAGAAAGATCTTATTATTCTAAAAATAATTTTTTTTAAAAAAAGTAAAAAATTTTTTTGTTAGTAACGCATTTCCTTAATTAATTAATTCATAAATAAAAATATTCTTTTTAACGCATTTCTTTACATAATTAATTCTTTATGTAAATTAATTACAAGAAAATAAAATATACATTTTTTTTATGTAATTAATTAAATTTTATTGGTTGTATAACTCCTTAAAAATATGTAATTATATCATAGCGAAACTAGTGTATCTACTAAATATAACCAATTAATTTTGTTCAAATATTCTTAAAAAAGATTCTAAGATGAGAGAACCCGAATCCCGAATCCCGAATCCTGAATCCCGAATTTTCTATTATTATTGGATAAATAAATAAAAGTTTAAACAAATTCAAAGATCGACCAATAAAACGAAACCTAGAATGAAAGAATTTGTTTGTTTCAACATGTATGATTTACTTAATGACTCCCAATCTGTAAAACCTTAAAAAAAGAAACTCTCATGACAACGCCAAAAAGTAAAAAGAAAATTATTTCCTATTATAATATATTCAAGAAATACTTAATTAAGTAATAAGTTACTAAAAGATCAAAACCTTGAATTTTCAACAATCCATTACGAAAATTTCATTTATGAAAAAAAAAAATGTTGTCGTACTAACTTTAATTTAAATAATGTAACAAACACATCTGATAGAAGATATCATCATATGATTAACGCGTCAAAAATAAAAATCCAAATATAAATAATTTTTAAGTTTCAAAATGTTTATTATTTATTGAAACTTAAACTTTGTTTAATTTTTTCCTTTTTTTTCGATTTCAAAATCTCTTGTTCTTCATTTTTGGTATATTGATATCAAACTTTAACGCGAACATAAACTTTTTTTTTCATTAAAATAATGAAATGAAACAATAGGAGTTCAAACACGTACCAAATAAAGTAAGCATATATCGGATAACTGTGAGAAATTTTAATTGTACAATGATTTTTTTTCATAATCTTCTCATTTATTTTTTTCATTTTAAGTAAAAGTCATGATTAAATGGATAACGTTGTGCTATAATTATAATTTATAATTTTTATAAACGAAACAATCGAATGCACAAATAATAATAATCGTATGATTTTTTTTTTAATGTTACAATTTATCTATTTTTGTATTTTTAATGATTAAAAATAAAATGATTCTTCGAATCTTCTATGGTTCATTAATAGGCTTCAACCATTATAAATACGGTGGCCATCGACTGGAGATTTTTTTCCATCAACGAAAATGATATCGAAAAATTTCTAAAAAAAAAAAAAAAACCAAAAAAAAATCATTAAACAAAATGTTAATTCATAATCTCCAATAAAAGTAGAACGAAAACGGAAACGAATGTTCAAAAAGTAGAACGAAAACGGAAAAGAATTTTTCAATAAAAAGTAGAACGAAAACGGAAACGAATGTTCAAAAAATTAACGAAAAAAATACGGATTGTCTATACTTATATACCGACGGTTAAAATTTTAGGATGGTTTTGACTTTATACCGACGGTTATAACGAAGGACGTTTTACCTCTCCCAACTATTTCCACTACTAAAATCTCCCTATTTTTTTTCAAAAAAAATCTTAAATCATAATTTTAAAATATCTTTTAATCATAATTTTAAAAATTTTAATTTTTAAAAATCTTAATGAATCTCCCCTTTTTTTTCCCCTTTGTAAAATATTTCCATTAAAATATTATTAAGTTGTGTTGCATTTTAAAAATTTTCGTTTTTATGTAACAAAAAAATATTAGAAAAATAGTTTTTTCTAATTTTTCTTAGTAACCCTGTAAGATAAATTAAATGTATTCTTTCTTTTTATTTTATATAATTTTCCTTAAAAAATAAGCAATGATATTTATTTTTTTGGAATAATTATTATACGCTAATAAAATCTCAAAAGAAATGATATTTTAATAAAATTTAACAATATAAACAATTCAAATAATCTTATAATTAATGATTCTCATAAAAAATGCAGTCCAAAATGTGATTCCCCGATTCTCATGATATGACCCATAAATTATCATACTTATTACCATTGTGAATGTGCAGTAAATAAAAATGTTTATTATGCAGCCTATTGCTAGTAAAAAGAATGGGATAAAAAATATTGATTAATGTATATAAAAGCATAATTTTGGTTGACATGCATAATATTGCAGTTATTGGATGTGGGTAATCATCCCGTATAATTATAAAATTTATTGGCTTTTTTTCTTGTAGTTTAGATTATAATAAAAACTTTTATTTTATTAGAAATTACTATTAGATAGCTTTTGATATAATAAAAGTAATAAAAGTGTAAAATTTGACTCTAATATTACAATATATGCGTTTTATTTGTACGTTTTATTTAATAATTTGTTATTATGACTATCATTGTCGCATTCATTTTCACCGACAATCATTTCACCGTCAATTACCCACAGAACTTTTCACCGAACTTTTCACCGACAGGTTCATTTCGCAGACAAATGTTCGCCGACAATCATCTCACTGACAAGGGAATTTAGGATTAGAGTTAGGGTTCCTTGAGATCATTGCAAAATATTCTCTTGAACAATTTGTTATATCACCAGTTTATCATATTTTTCCTCCTCACATAAAATTTCTATTATTACTATTTAAAATCAAATAATATATTCAATAAATCAAACTAATTATGAGGTATGAATCAAATTCGAAAATTTATAAAATTTATTCATATACAGTAGTTAAAGATTATTATAATCCAAATATGGTAATTAATTAATTCAGAATCACAAAAGTATGGTTCTTGATATTGTACGACCAGTCTTCTTGATAGACCTATATGCAGTGATGTACATTGGAAGATTGGAAGCTATTGATTCTTTCAACTCTAAGCCTTCCAATGCAAATAAATTTTTATTGGAAGCTTCCAATGCACATAGAAATATATATACGTATATATAAAAGCTAATATGTATTGAAAATCATTGGAATATTGGAATCTTCCAATTCTTCCAATTCCAAGCCTTCCAATGCACATCACTGCATCTTGATATGTTTTAACATATAGCCTATATATGTTAGTACTATAGTACTATATAAACATATCAAAATGCATACCCGAAACCTATCAAGTCCTTCGTTTGTGTGACATTTATATTTGACGCGACATTATTCAAAAAATTTGGTATTATTAATTATCAATTAAATATTGTTCTCTAGCTTGATTTCAAATTATTTCTTCGAATTAGTATTGCATCTTGGAAATTAATAAATTATTGGTCCGAAGTGTAACGAAAGACTACCCTATAGCACTGACTAAAATACCCGGGTATAAATCAATTTACTTACCTAAGTATATACTTCTACCCTGTCAATGCTAGAAAAATTTAATAAATTCGATTTATGATAGTTGTTAAATTTGATCCACATATTACATATTTGATATATTTGATATATTGAGACGGGTATTTTATATGGGTTCTATACGGTATATTGGGCTCTTTGCAATAGAAAGGGGGAAACTACCAAAAAAATTAAATTTATATTTATATACTAAATATTATAATTTGTTCAGAATTAATACTAACTAAAAAAAATTTTTTTTAGCAGTTTCCTCCCTTTCTATATATTGCAAAGAGCTCAATATATTCTACGCTTGATGATTTTTGTCATGTCCGCCACTTCGGAATTAATACCGGTTTCCGTTTCCCTAGTTTCGATATGCGATAGATTTTCATTGTCGATCAAGATTGAAAAATGTATATAAGTGCGTGATATTCATCACCAACCACGGATTGAAAAACGTATACGTGTTTTACCCCTTTTTTGAATGATCTCAGTAATGTTGAAACATATTCTTTATGGAGTACGGAAAATTTTTTTTTGATTGGACTTGTTATATTATTTTTCCATAATATATTAATTACTATGCAATGATGAAAAAACCTATTTACTTTCTAGTCTAGGAATTTTCGTAGTAATTTGTCTAAACAAAAGATTAATATGGGTAATTTGGAGATTATATAATGAAAACCCATGGATTTTATGTTTATTTGCAACCCTTTATATAATTACGTTATTTCTTGGATATATAAAAACATTTATGATATTATTCTTTTGTTTTGAAGCATACTTTCAATACTTACTAGTAGTATTTATAGGAGATTATACTTTGTTATTGGTCTCGAAAATCCTTCATGGCGATTGTTTTTTATAAAGGTTTTTTAGCAATGATCGGATTAAAACCTCTTCTTGAGTCATGTCCTACTTTTGCTATTACATATGCAATAATAATTATAATTTTTATTTGTATCTTACTTAGTCCATATCTTTTTATGCATTCATATTATTCATATTTTGTTGTGTTAAAATTATTTCTGGTGGTTTATTTTTAAATTATTCTTACCTATATGCTTTAATTGTTGGGGAATTTTGACAGGATTGTTTTGGTGTAGAAACTGTGGAAAAAAATTATTTTACTGATAATTTTTCAAATTGGACGAGTGAAAATTATGATATTAATGAATTAATTAGAGATCCTCAGAAAAAAGCAAAGGAATTAACAGATTATATAGAATGGATACCTTATAGTGAATTTGGAGATATGACACGAATTGACGAAGGTAGATTTGGTACAGTTTACCGTACTATATGGAAAAGTGGCCCTTTAACTATGATAAGGGGAAAAATTGAAAGATCTGAACAAATTTATGAAGAATTAAGCCAATCTTTTTTTAACGGAGGATTAGGTCAATTGCATGAAATATTAGAACACTTTTATAAATTCGGACCAATATCAATCTATTTAAGACCATGTAATGTTGCTATTAAAATACTTAATCATTCAGATGATAACATGGAAAACTTTTTGAATGAATTAAAAGCACATATAAAATGTAATTACATGCGAATGATTTTCAAAAAGTAATGGTTAGATGTTATGGCGTCAGTCGAGATCCGACTACGGAGAAATATATGTTTGTAATGGAATTTGAACAAAACGGAAATTTGCGTCATTATTTAAAAAAAAAATTTTCAGTACTTAGATGGCATGATGATAAATTAAAGTTGCTGGTTAGTTTAGCTAATGGATTACACAATTCACGAAGCAGGACTTGTACACCGTGATCTTCATGCTGGTAATATTTTAATTGGATATGATAATAATGCATATTTAGCAGATTTAGGATTAAGTTGTTTAGAAAATGAACAACAATCTAAATTTAATTATGGTGTTTTACCATTTATTGCTCCTGAAGTTTTAAGAAATCGTAAATATACTTTCGCTTCTGATGTTTATAGTTTTGGAATAATTATGTGGATGTTAACATCCGGACAATCTCCCTTTGACGACTATGAATATGATCATTCATTAGAAATGGAAATATGTGTAGGCAAAAGACCTAATGTTATTGAAGAAACTCCCAACTGTTATAGAGAGATGTTGGAATCCTGATCTATCAAAAAGACCTCCAGCTATTGAATTATATAATACATTTAAATTTTGGTATCTTGGTAAATGTTATCGTCAATTTAAAAATGCTGATCGATTTTCCGCATTGAGAGAATTGAGAGAAGTAATAAATTCTGATCAATCTGATTTATCAACAGGTAAATGAACCATTTATACATTTTTTTATTTTACTTTTACTAACTAAATTTAAAAAAGCTGATGTCGAAAGAAAAAACGAATTCCGATCAATCTTTATCATCAGGTAGAACATTTATACATTTTTGATTTTTTTTTTTCTTTTGCGTTTTAATTACTAATTTTCTATTTATTTAATTGAAGTTTCTTCCATGTCTTCATGGAAAATATGATTTCACTTTAAATGTTTGTTTTTTCTTGTAGTTTTTTAAATATCTGATAGTTCCTATTCAACATCATTTAGAATTTCGTCCTTAAATATTATTTCCTTACTTTTGCAAGAAAAATATGTAAATTTGACGCTCGCATTTATCATTATAGCATGTTAAAATATACGCTTAAAGCTTTTATTCATTTCAAATTATGCAAATTTTCTAAAATTCGTTAACCGACAAAAAACAATAAAACTCGTACAATATTAATTCTATTAAAACAACATTAATTCTATCAAAACAATATTAATTCTATCAAATCTAATATATTATCATCTAATCAAAACATTCAATAGTTTCCTTTTCCACATCAATATCCATATTATTTGATTCTTCCACAACATCTATATTCAGTACTTCGCTGTTTATATTTTTTTCGGTTTCGTGCGATATATCAAATTCAGATTTCTTATTATCCATTAAATAGCTTTCTGATATTTCATCATTAGGCCGTTCATTTTCTTCTTTTTTCTGTTCTGATCCGTGCCCTGCTTCGTTTTCTTGATTCTGATCTTGTGAATATTTATTTTCGTTATTTTTTTCTTTCATTCGTTTTTCAGGTGCTCTTTCTTTACTAAGTGCATCTATATTAATTTACAAAAAAATTAGATGCAATTGCCTTTTTATTAGTCAAATGTTTCCATATTTTGTAATCGCACCTGGCTTTTCATCGTCCACTATAAAAGGGTTTGTATTTGAACAATTAAATGGAGCATCCAAAGTAGACTCTATTCAAAACAAGATTTATTTGTTTAGTAACAAATTTTTTTAATTGAACACACTTTTTTCCTTAAAAAAAAAGTACTTTTCAGAAAGTAGGAACTTATAGGTGGGGCTGATTTCTTAAGTTTTGGCAAATCATCATTATCTTCCTGTTTCTTTTCATCGTTCGTATCTTTTGCGCTTCTTTTTAATGAAGGTATTTGTCTCCCTTCATACTGCGACGACTCGCTCATATTGTTGTGATTAAGATCGGATACATATGTAGAAGCGCTTTTAAACATAGGAAAATAAATTACACGTTAGTAAAATCTTGCAGAATAAATAATTTAAATACAAATTGGATCATTTGGTTTACTTACTCTGTGCTTGCCAAGGGTTGTGAATACGATGTTGCTCTATTTGATAAAGTATTTTTTCTCCCTTGTCTTCGTGATATTGATCTTTCTTTTTCCCTAATTTTTTCCTTTTAGCAATAAAGAAAAAAAATTAAATTATTTATTGCAAATCTTTCAAATAATTGATAAAATACTCACTGATTTCAACTTATTGATTTTTTCAGCTAAGTTTGGAGCTCGGTAAAATTCGGCAATTTTTAGAGCAGACTCCAAGAATCTCACTGAATTTAATAATTTAGCTAAATCCAAGGCACGTTCATATTTTTCTTCACTGACAGCCATCTAAATTTTTAATATTATACATTTAGTTAATTTAGTTACAACATTTACAACATAAAATTTTTTTTAGAAAAAATAAAATGTTTAAAATTTAACCATTATTAATTCGATTATAATTTTGTTAGCATTTCTTTCTTTCTTCTTTAATTGTATAATCTTCTCTTCATTTAACTCGTTCTTTGCCTTGGCTTCTTGATATTGGAAGCTCGATATAATAGATTCACGCATCCATCTATGTTGAAAGAGTGAGTATTTATTAAATTTTCCTTTATATAATTTATATGAAACTACCAATATACCTTTCTTCATAGTGTCCGTTTTTATTATCAAGATGCAAGAGCGGTATTTGCCAATTAACCTCATCGTATGCTGGTCGGGGATAGCGGGGAACATCATCACCATACTAAAGAGGTTTGGAATTAGAAAATATGTAAATAATATACCAAATAAATCACATTTGGTTATTAGGTATACATATTAAACTTTGCAATTAATTAATTACCTTAAGAATAAAACACATTAATTTAGATTCCATAACCGCAACTGGCCAATATATCCATTCTTTTTCTTTCTCTCTCTCCTTTTCCTCAATCTCTTTTTCTTCATCTTTTTCTGCCTTATTTTCTGAGATGTCATCTAAATCAATGACATCCGAATTTCTTTTTAATGATTTCGAGCTATCTGCATCAGATTTAGGCTCTTTTACAATATTGGCGGTATCTAACACAGGTACCCATCTTGCTTGTTTGTATACTCGATGATCATGAAGTATATAAAGGACACCTTTAGAATCAAACATTGTTGGTAACTAATAATTTATTAAGACAACATGTAAGGATTAAATTCAGAATTTAACTACTTCAGTAGATTAATTATTATAAAGCTTACTCCTTCTTCAGAAAAGCCTAGCCATTTCAAAGTTGATTCTTTAGATATCGGCAAAAAGTCTTTTTGTATATCACCACGATCATGCATATCATACAAAACATATCCAAGATTTTGCGAACCTGTCACATACCAAATGCCTAAGTTAATAACACTATTATTAAATAAATGCATGACCGAAAAAAAAATATTCACCTTTATGAGCTATACTTAAATGATAAGCGACCAGAAGTAAATTATTATATGCCGCCATACAAACGATAGAAGGAAAAGCAAATATGTAATCTTGAAATCCATTAAGAGAAAAGAATCGCAAATAATTATTGGAAGTTGCGATAGCTATTGATTGATCACTTAAAGCAATGGCTAATATTTAATAGAAAAAAATAAGTATTATTCTGTCAAGATCATGCATTGAAAGAATAACAAAATTTACCTATTATTTCTTCATCTATGGGAAGTGTTTTCATCCATTCACCTTTTGGTCCCCAACTATTATTTGGCTTATAATATAATATACTTGGATTCCCGTTATCAGATCCTACCGCAAAAAGTACTCCGTGTGTGCCTTAATAAATTAATATTAGTGTGATTTTCTTATTAAAATCTTTTTATCCCAAATATGTTCCAAAAAATTTAATACCAAGACAAGCCATAGTATAACCAATATCGTCACGAAAATTATATCCTCTGAATTGTGTTTTGTTATTATATTCAACATTTACCGAGTGAAAAGTAGTATTATTTACTGAGTGAATACAACCAAGCCAATTGACAGCTTATAATATTAAATAAATTTAAAATTAATACTTGAAATAAAAAGTATACTGAATAATTAAAGTTTCAATACCTAAATATCGACGACTATTTTTCATTACCGATGATCCAGGCTGAAAAGGCGGTTGAAGCTCAGCAATACCTAAATAATGAATAAATTAACAAAGAATAAAAAGTGATAGTGAAATGCAAGACTTTTTTCCTTACTACTTGATTCTTCGTGAATTATTATCTGCCTTTGCTGCTGCTTCTTTTTTGGTGAATATCTTGGTTTATCTACGGCAACATAATCATCTAAACCTGCGTCTTTATCTAATATAGATTCGAAGTCAAACTTATCAGAAGTACCGTTTACGTCCATTGAACTCTCTATTATATTCGAATCCAAACCACATTATTAGTAATTAATTCGTTAAAAAAGTACAAAATAAGATAGAATAAAAGGTAAAAAATATATACCAGAAGCTTTCTCAATAGAAACTGATTTTGGTAAACTATCCTTAGGGCTCATGATTTCTAAATTACGAGAAATATAAGATTATATTTAAGGTCCTTTAATAAATATATTTATAAATATATTCTTTAATTAAATATTTGTATTTCATACCACCATCTTTTGACTTTCTTTCTCCTGATATTTCATCGTCATCGGTATCAAGATAAGATGATTCTCTTCTGTTTGATTCATCTATAAAGTGCTCATTTAAAACGTAGTAGAGATTTAAAATAATCAAGTTAACATTATGATAATCACTTTACCTTTTGTTTTATCTTTCTTATTATCTATAACCATTGTAGGAACATAATCTTCATCTGCGGATTCTTCCGCGAGATCGTCGAGAAAATTAAACGAATTTGCTTTTTTTACATGTAAACATAGATTAATTTAAATTGCCAAATGAAAATAACCTAAAAAAAAGCTTCATACATTTATGTTTAAACTTTTTTCTTGAAATAGTAGAACTTAGTTCATCATTCGAAGAATCACCTAAAACAAATTTATATATCAAATTACTATATTATAACAATAATCATCTGGTTAATCAAATTTAGTATAAATACAAAACAACAACACTAACCATCCGGTTTAACGAATGAACGTTTCTTCGTATCATTCTCATCATCAGAAAAATCAAAATTTTTCAATTTTTCGTCATCCGCATCCGAAAAAGAATCTAAAATTAACATTATATAATTAAATATCTATTAATAATTTTGAAATAAATTATAGAAACTTTACCGGTAGATTTTCTACGGAAAGTGCTTTCCTCATCAGATAAAAAGTTAATGGATTCAAATTCATTTTTTCGACCAGCTTTTGATAAAAAAAAAGAAGAATATAATTTCACATTTATTAATAAATTGGAATTATTAACAAAATAGAATTAGATCATAAAATTTACCGGCATATTTTCTGCTGGGGGTATCTTCCTCATCAGAAGAGAAATTAATGGATTCGAATTCATTTTTTCGACCAGCTTTTATAAGGCAAAGATTAGATTCATGAAAATATCATTTAAGCAAACTAAACACGAATACTAACCAGTCAATGATTTGGGTGACTGTTTCTTTTTTGAGGACCCAACTCCATTATCGTTGCCTGATATATTTATCAAAATTAATGGAAAATTATAATTGGGTGGTTCCAACTTGATTGTTTGTTTAACGTACCCCACCTCCCTCTATTTTTGTTAAAATTTAAAATGTTGATAAACATATAACACCATATGTGTTTAAATGCCCCTCTAAATTTAAATTACAGGTTTCTGGATTTTTCTGAAATTTCCCGAAATTTCCCAAATTTTCCAAAGGTTTACTACATTTAGTTTGTTCAATGAAAACCCACCTCCCCTCTCAAACTTTTCGGAAAATCTGGACGTTAAACAAACAATCATGTTGGAATGGCCTTGTAGGAAATTTTCATTATAAATGTGCCTGACTTACCAAATGCAGTACGATGCTTTTTCCTAGGTGATCCTTTTTCCCGAGAATCCAAATTAGGACGATGAGATGATAGAGACTTGCTTGTCGAATTTTCTATATTATAATATGATTATTTGTTATTATTTAATATAAAATACAATTCAATAAACTGAATAATAAACTCACTTTTTCCACGATTATAAAACTTTTCTTTCACTCCCTTCATACTTTCTTGTATTTTAATCAAATCAAAAGGTTCGGAAGTGGATACTTGAGATCTAGCGGATCCATTGGATCGTTCGGGCGTTTTTAACTCGAATGTCTGAGATCTATCGGATCCATTGGATCCTCCTGAAAAATCAATATTAAAACTCTGGTGAAAAATCAATTATACTAATTCACACATAAATAGTTACCCTTATACTGTTTTTTCAAAGATTTTAAACGTGATTTCATTACTGGATCATCATCATCTGAATCGACATATGAGTGGTTATCAGTTTTGTCGTCCATTGAAGTATCTATGAAAAAAAAAAATGAATCATATTACAAAAGAAAAAGTCAAGCAAAGAAATTATTTAAAAAGTGTAAAATTAATTAAATTACCCATTCCAATTTTATCATCTTGTGTATTGGAAGGTGAAGCAACCACAGTATCGTTCGGTTCATGAGAGATTTCTTCACGTGATTCAACTTCAATTTCATTATTATTAATATCCATGATTTTAAATATAAAGGCCTCTGAGTCAAACCTTACAAACAATCATTAGTCATTTAAAATGAAATTTTTTTTTAAAAAAAAAAAAGGTTCCCGAACATCCTTTTATTCTCCAAAGACAAAATTTTTTTGTACCTAATATAAAAATAAATTATTACCTTTTTTCTTAAAAAAAAAAAAAATTTCGTAGAAGTTATGAAATATTTTTTTTTTTCGAAGTTGTTTAAATAATTCAAAAATGATTTATAGTTTCAATTAAAGGATATCTTCCACGATTTACATTTCTACTTAAGGACAAATTAATCGATTTACGTCATAGATACGAAATTTTAAAAATCCGCGACATACGTGATACGTTTATTTGAATTTTAACTCTAATAAATTAATTTATTTATATTCAAAATTTTGTTACATAAGTTAAATAATTTAAATAATTTAATAAAAATTAATTTTCAATCCTCAATGGACCATCTTTTTTCATTTGAAACAAGTAAAAGATTATTATTATTGGCAGATGATTCTTTATTCTTTTGATCAACTATAATTTGAGTGAAAAAAAAAATTTAATTTTATTTCTTTTAATATAAAGAAAAAAATGAAATCAAATGACTCACGATGATCTTGTAATCCTTGTCCAAAATTCTTATAAACGAATACAGACCAAATTAATGATAACTAAATAAAAACATTTGAATTAATATTATGAAATACTATATATTGAATTATTAAACCTTTTTAATTACTCACAAGAGTCATTATGATTCCGACGATAACTAATAATAGCAATATGTTAATACAAATAACAAAATTTCTTGGAGAGAAACATTAAAATAAATATTCATTACTTACGAAATATAATGAAAAAGTACCAACTATCCTTAACACTTCCTATCGAATAATATAAGAGTATACCAAAATCTATAATAATAACCACCCAAAATACACATACATATATAATACCAAGTTTCATTTCTTTTTTCACCTATTAATTAATATTGATTTAACATTTTTGTATATAAAAAAAAATCTCCCCAAAAGATAGTTAACATACCGAACGATATCCGATTATTTGATTTAGAAAAATTAAGCCTGATACTGCTATATGAAACAAATAAAATGGTTTTGGAAGATATCTGATGTGTTTTATAGATGTAGGTTTGACTCTTAAATTTATTTTAAATACTGTACATGCCTCTAAAGCTAATCCCAATATAAAGAATAAATCAAGCTTAAGTAGCATTACATAGATTAAATACGTCCTAAACATGGCTAAAAAAGAGACAATAAATTTACACGTTAATAATGATTAATATAAAAATAACATATAGGAAGATATATTATCTTTTGATCTAACATGCCTTGTTTTTGAATGTCTCCACCAATTTTTTTATATATATTCCAACCAAATTGTCGATATAATTTCCAACTTAGAAAAGCCATAATAAAGCCAAATATCATTAATACTACTACTAATGGTATATCAAGCGAAGAAAAACTTGGATTAAAATCTATTTCCAATGGAATTTGACATGTCTTGCCGAAATCTTTGTACCATTTTTGAACTTCAAGCATCTGAATCTATAAAAATAAATAAATAAATTAGAATTCTGATGAGATGTAACTGATTTGAAATTATTTATTTAAAGCTTACAATGCCAAAAGATGCACAAAAAAAATTAGCTGCAGCGATGGTAATAATTTGAATTGTATTTTGATTATAGATCTAGAGGAATATTTCGCGATAAAATTCTTTTAAATAAATTAAATAAATTATATTTATAATGAAATAAAGAGTACAACTTTATCTTTTCTTACCGCATTAAAACATAACCACATTTGAAATATCTGAAATATAATAAAGATAACATTTTCTTCAATAATATTGTTTAATCTCAGTAAAGAAGGCTCTAGGCAAGCCGCAGAACTTGAAATTCTTCTGCCGTAAACAATAACACTTCTACTGGTATCTTCATTACGACGATATACTCGAACTTCTAATGCTATTACTAGTATGGCTTGTAAAAGTGAAGTAAGAATAAATAATTGTGTTGTCCTTGATTCATTGATTCGGTCTAGCTGTGATACAATTGTTAATAAACATGTTTTTAAAGAGAATTAAGAGAATTCAAAAAAAAAAAAAAAATTCAGTTATAAAAAAATCGCGTACCAACTTTTTACTTCTGCGTTTTATTCCAAGATTAATAACCATGATAAGTATGTATATATTTTTCCTAGTTCATAAATAGAAACAAACTGTCGAAATTAAAAAAATAAGAATTCATTTCTAACTAAAAAGGATTTTTTTCATGTGGCTATTGCAAAAGTTTAAAAATTATCGAATTTTGTCGCATAGCCGCCATGATCAAATGTATACCGGCTAATGTCAAAAATATTAAATTTGTTGATTTGTGTTACCTTTTGTTTAATGTTTCACATCATTTTGCCCTGCCCTTAAATATGAAATTTTTCTGAGGCTTTTTTTAGTAAAAGTTTGTAATAATTGTAATAATTAATATATGAATATATATATGATACGGAATTTCTATTAAGATCGATCGTGGCAGTGTATCACCAAGAGGCTAAGGCTTAAAAGTTAAAAGATCGACATTGATGAAAATCGGTAGTATAAAATATAAACAAGTATAAATAAATTATTATTTATCTGTTATTATTATTTATGTAATTAAAAAATATTTTATATATTTCGTAACAATCAACCAATCAACTGTTTCACTCGTTGTTCTAATTTAGTAATGATGTTATAAATGAAAACAAAGTATTATTTCACAACATAACATTGTTAAATCACGTCAACTCTCGCGGAAGAGTTAGATGTTATCGAATTAAAATTGATATTTTTTTAGTACCTAAAGTGAAAAAAGATCGATGTGAAAATAATTTGAATTAATTAAATCAGATAATGAACGTTATTAATACGCCATTGATTTTCTTATTAAACTCACATCCATAATCCATATTAGAGTGGCGGTCGGACGATTAGATCATTTTTAATTATCTGTTTAGCATCATTTTTTATATTATTACGCTTTTCGGACTATAAATTAGCCATACTGTTGTATGTCGGTCATTTGTTTTTTTGTCAGACATATTAACTATTAAAGATTAACTATTAGTAGTAACTCTGTAGTCTAATACTATTATCACATGATCGAAATGAGATAAATTATTGTAACAGTTTTGTTATAATTAACTCATCAGCCTTATTTGTCACGTTACTGCATAATTTCAATTATACGAGTGATAATTAATGCGGTGAAATTTTTTTGTACATTAACAACCTCGACACGTGTAAAAATAAAAAACTTTCATTACCGATTGATAGTTCAATTAAGTACAAGGTTCCAATACAAAAATTTTCAAGTAATGATCACCTGTTATTTTTGTTATCAGTTATTTTATCCCCCAAAGCGAACTTTACATAAGACTATATGCTTATTTTATTAAACTTTGGTAACATGCATAGTATGCTTATACTAAATTAGAAATTTATGACGCATGAATCATTCGGAATTTCGGGGTAATTCAAAATCTAGTATAAATTTAATATGCAAATCATGATTTTATTATAGATTGACAATGGAAACGATAAATGAAAAGATTTACTACTTTTATTTCCTTTCAATCCTTCTCTTTCTCTTACCTTTTTCTTCTCTTTCCTAATTCTTTTACTCTTTCTCTTTATCTTATACTTCTCTTACTCTACATAAAACGGTTAAACGATAAAAATTAATAAACCTTCTCTTTTTTTATGTTTTATTGAAAAGTGAACGAGAAAGTGAAAGATTTTGTTAATTTTCTTTTTTTTTTTAAAAAAAAAAATTTAATTTAATTAATAATAATTTAGTTAATTTAAGGTTTATTGTTATTCCTTATATAATTATTATTTATTCTTAAAAATTATTTAAGAATTTATTAAATATGAAAATTCAAATTGAGGAATATAAAGATCAAATTGTAGATTATGTAACTGTGGAAAGAATAAAAAAATGCCTTATAAGGCGGGTATGTATATTAAAAGAATTAAATGAATCTTAATAAAAGATAAATTATGTTAACGCTCATAAATACTTTGTTTTTTTTTTAGTATGAAAGAGTTACTGAATCAAAATGGACGCGATATTTCATTATTACTTCCATTATCCAAACAATTTTTGCCATAGTTTTTATAGCTAGAGTGTTAGACAGAAATAATAGAGCAGCAAACCGGTTTAATAATGAATCACAGGATATAAAAGACTACAGGTGTAAAACTATTAATAGTGACAGAATACAAAATATAATTGGTGAAAATACAGTTTTTCTCATTTTTAATATATTTCAACTTTGGTTTTGCCAGAATGCGGTAAGTTCTTTTTATATATTATCATTTTATTCAAAGTGATTAATATTTTAATAATGGTTAATCTTTTTACGTGCATTAATGTTTTATCTCCATTTATTTTATTTCTAGATTTTTAATCAAAATACCATACAAATTATAAATATCGCTGTTATCAATTATCTGTGTGCACTTTTTGCTATAGTTCAAATTGTTGAAATTGATATATGGACGAAAAATGCAAATAATTGTCTACCTGGTTTCGATTATCATGCAATTATTGCAGCTTATGAGGTACCATTAATAGTAATAGTAGTAATATGCGCAACTTTACAAGTGTTCTTTACTTGGAAGTTATATCAACAATTCGGTTGGAATATTTATAAAAAAATTGGCGCCGATCTTAGAATGCAAAGTAAAGTTTACTTATTTTATACACTGTATTCGATTCTTTACATTATTATTATTAATCAACTAAGATAATAATAATTTTTTCTTTTTTTTTTTGAAAATAATAATAGGGATTTACCGAACAATGTTAATTTTCGTTATGTTACTAAAGATTGATCTGTTCTTTATGAATTATTTGGCAATTGAAGGTTGTATCGTAACACGACCAGGCCGTTCAAACCAAAATCTTAGTGAGGGATTATATTACTTTCACGTTTGTATAACGATAATAATCGTTTTCTTACAGTTACTTGTTTGGCATTCGGTAAGTAAATTTTTATAATTTAATAAATTTTATTATTATATAATAAATTATATTAATCTAGTTCGATTTTATTAGTTACGTAAAGAGTCTTCATTAGGAATGAAAATTTTTATTGGAGCTTGGATAGTATGTATTGCAGACTTTATAATATTACTCGTAGATTCAATAAAACCATCTAGTGAAGAGAGTTGGTACTTTTTCACTAGTTTTAGTAAGTAAAATTATAATTATAATCTTTTTATTATTGTTGTTCTTGAATTAATTATATTTTCTATGCCCTCCAATACTAGTTGCCGTTGGGATTATAATGGGTTTGGTAAGTAAATCACGTTTGTTTTTTTTTATCCACTGCATAAAACTAATAAAATTACTTTATTTACATAGGTAACACTTCTATGGTCAATATTTCTATTAAGAAACTTCGGCAAAGGTCTAAAACCACATCGTATGTAATCATTGTTTGGTAAAATCAACTAAAAAATCGAATGCACTTATTAACATTATATCTTGATTGTTATCTATAGTCTCTAGGCAAAGCCATTTGGAAACTTTACCCACGCAACAGACGTCCAACCCAACGGATTCATCGACGCCTCAACGTATAGGCCGCTGGGCTATCGATGATTAAGAGGGGGAAATAATATTCCATATAAAAAAATGAACATTTAATATAAATTTTTTTTTCCCGTTGTTTTCATCAATAATATTTACATAATTGTGCCAACAAATTATTGAAAGAGGGGAAAAATTAGATGAAAACAAAATCGAATTCCTTTTTGTAATTTTTGAAAAAAAAAAATCGAATTTGTATTTATAATATACAAATTCATTAACAAAAGGAATGAAGGAATCAGAGAAAGAATGAGAAGCAAAAGGAATATAGAGAAAGGTTTCCTATTAATCTTTATATGTAATATTTTTTTTTTTTTGATATTTGTAATTCTATCAAACTTTAATTTTTCTCATTTATTCTTATTTTGAAACCTTCAAATGACATACTTTTTCTTCTGTATTTCTTCTTTTCTTATGTATCTTTATATTCTTGTATTATTATTCTACAAAAAAAAAAAAATCAATGTACACAATACATTTTTAGATTTATTCAATTAAATCCAAAATAAAATATTGTATAGCTTATAACGCTGCGATGGCCCTTTAATAATAGTTCAATTGCAAATGGCGAAATGAAGTAAAATTTCCCTACTTCATATTTGTCACGTGTTCGATAAATGATCTAGATCAATAGATCAGCTCATCAATACGTTATGTTTATTAAGGTAAATGTACTTATAGGTCATAGTATTTTATAGTTAGTAAGACATATGGTTAATACTTACAATTGCCATTTTCAATACATGACGTTATTGTACAATAGTTTTGCTATAAATACACAACAAAATACTCCCTTACTTCTCTCTTACTTTCTTCAAATACGCGCTTTTTGCACTAAAAAAAGACTTTTAAATAATTATCTCGTTTTCTATTTGACTTATTTTATAAGTAATTATTTCTGTAAAAATGCCACCAAAAAAAGATACGACAAAAGATACAAGAGCTAGTAAGAGTAAGGAAATCAGCGAAACTAATGAAGCCAATGAAACGAGCGAGACGAACGAAACGAGTACGTAAAATATTTAGATATGAAATTTTTTTTTTTTCATTTGCCGTATTTGATACGCGTATGAAGTTATCATTGATTTTATGATAAAGATATTTTTAAAGTTTCCCTTAAGTTAAAAATATATATATATTTATTTATAACGTGTAAAGCTAACAAACTTTTTATAATTTATAGCAAAAAGAGCGCCAACTGCTTACAATCGGTTTATGAAAACTGAACTCCCTAAGGTTAAGGCCGAAAATCCTGGTATGAATCACAAGGAAGCGTTTAAGTTGGCTGCCAATAATTGGAAAGATAGCCCGGACAATCCAAAGGTAAATAGTTGTTAAATTATCTTGTTATCTAAAAGAGATCTTTATTATAATATTAAATATATTCTATATTATTCTTTATATAAAGAATAAAACCGGTTAAGGACATCTCTGCATTGTTACTAAATTCGATTATCGGATATGTAAGCATTGCTTATTGATCTAAATTTCACGTAAATTTTATTATGAAAAGACGCGATACTTATTACTATACATTTTATATTCGTTTTCTGTTTTAAAGAATTTGTAGTAAGAGCATAGCATATTACTTTATTGATAGCTTTTATTTACATATGCATATAGTACATTTTATTTGTAAATGAAATGAAATAAATAAATTTTACATAAATTGTTGTTTCAACATAATGAAATTGACATTAATGATCTGTTTCTAAGGCCATAAAACGTTTTTTGTAGGCATGAACCTGAAGTAAAACATAATCATCAATAGATACAAATACAATTTAAATATAATTAATTATCTTTTACTAAAATAAATAAAGGTATCTGGGAATGTTGTTATAACTATAAATCTACCCAATTTTATTTTCTGTTTCTTTCTACGAAATGAAACTTACAAAGTCTGACATGTGACCAATTATAAAAGGTTTGATCTTCAAATTCGCGTAAAAAAAAACCTTCAACACATTATGAGTGGATTAGTAGAATATGAATTATCAGATAATGAATCAGATAATGAAAACAACGAATTTAATTTATTATCAGTTGATTATAAAACTGATGAAGAAGGGGAAAGTGAAGAAAGGAAAGAAAATAGTTCAGAGGAAAAGCTACTGAAACGTAAACAATTTGACGATTTAGACGATGAGCATGTAGTAATAAGGTTAATTTAAATTTTCTAATGTTTATATACATGTACCCATTTGTTTGAATTTCTAAGTTCTCAAACTTATTTTTAATTCTTAGTAAAAAAAGAGAGTCAATATTAAAAGAAGAAACTCCACGAAAAGATTTACCACCGCTTCCTTCAGATTTTTTACAATTGTATCCAGGCAAGTAAGTATATTTTTTCTTTCTCTTGAGTTTTTTTTCTATTTCCTAAAAATAATATATACATATACTCTTTCTTTAGATAAGAAAAGGAAAGATTACACTAAACATATCGATGATCCATCGAAGCATCAAGGTCGAATAAGATCTAAACCGCATGTTGAAGGTGATTGGGCTACTCACGTTTATGTTGATGGTATGTATGACTTATGACTAATGAACGGTTATAAAATCTATAATTTGTTTCTTTTTTATTAAATCGGAATTTTAGTTACACTTACAGAGGAAGCGGATCATATTATAAATAAAATCGAAGAATTAGCAAAAGAAGTTGTTAGTAAAGATGGGATCAAAATTATTTCATGTATTGAAGACCATCAAGATAATAATTCGTTAAACGAACTTGATCCTAACGGTCATTGTGAAGAAACAAAATTACATATTAGTTTATCGAAACCTTTATTTTTAAAATATCATCAGATTGAACATTTTTGGAATAAACTAAGAAATGGGTTTTTGAATTGGAAAAGGTATTTATAATATTTTAGTTATTATTTATAAAATAATAGGCTAATTTGTCCAAATTTATATTTAAAAAATAGGTTTTCTTTGTCATTTGCTAATATTACTAGTTTTTCTAATGATGATAAGAATAGATCTTTCTTGGCGCTAGAAGTTGGTAAAGGATCAAATGAGGTATTATATTATGAAGTTTCTTTATTTCATCAAATTTATTTTGAATTTCTTACTATATCATGGAGTGTAGCATACACAATATTATTTATTAGCGTTAGGAAGATTTATATTAAGTCATAGAGATGGGAATTTGGCACAACATGTCATACCCTTCCTTTTTTCATCTTTACCCGGTTCAGTTCAAGCGTAAAAAAAGTAAAATTGCTAGTCTGGAATGAAGAAATATGTCATTATTATATCATACCATGTTTATATTCCTCTTAGAATAGATTTATTTTATTTTTTAGAATTATTAACAAAAAAAAAACTTTTTTTTTTATTTAGCTAAAGTCGATGGTTGATCATGTTAATAAAGTGGCCGAAGATTTTCGACAAAAACCATTTTACGAGGTAAGTAAATATATAAATCCTTTAGTCATTTATTAATAAAAGCTCAGTTATTTGATCTCTTGTTTTTCTTTTTAATAGAATCCACGATTTCATGCAAGCATTCTATGGGCACTTGGAGAAACAAGTATAGACCGTTCTTTATGTGATGCAATTAAAGAAACTGAGTATTTTGAATCAATAACACAACACGTTTTTAATATTGAAAATATGGTTTGTAAAATTGGAAATAAGACATTTACTTTAGATTTAAAATAAAGTATGCAAATATGAATTAATAATTTATAAAATAAAATGTCATTCATTTCACCATTTAAATATAAAATTATATAAATGATAATTTATTCATTGATTTTTCATTTTGCGAATTTCAAAGATAAAAAAAGATGAATACGGAAAAAAAGTTAATGATCTACGAAATGGAGAAGCTGGGGATCGAACCCAGGACCTCTCGCATGCAAAGCGAGCGCTCTACCACTGAGCTACATCCCCAATTGCTTGAAAAAAGTAACAAAATATTATATGAAGAATGATTTAACTATAAAGGTTAAGGAAATTTGCCACGTTAAAGTTTTCTTTTAGTAAGTTTCCGCAGCAAGATTATCACATTACCAAAAAAAAAAAAAAAAATTTATATCATATTTTGCTTATAGATAAATTTTCTTCTTATTTTTATTTAACAGTTAAATAAAAAGAAAGTAGTAAAAAAAAAATTATTGACTACAACTGCTTTTAATCATTTGGTGACAGTAACTTTGGACGAAAGAATGAAATGTCAGAATGTTCAGACAAAATAGAATAAGTAATTAAGGTATTATTTCACTGAAACAAAAACTTTACGATTGAGATACTTACAATATTACAAAAACGTACCTAATTAAAGTTTCGGGTAACACAAATTAATATCTTCTTGTTTTGGTTATAAAATTAACAAAATTAATTTACATTTTACATTTTTAATTTCAACTTTTCTTTCTTCCTTTAATAACAATTAATTTATTTTTCAGGTATTTGATTTTTTTTTTTCCTAATTACTAATACTAATTTTGGTATCATTTAAATAAATAGAAATATTACTTGAAAAGTAACAGATTTATTATAGGAATTTTTTTTGGTATCAATTTTATATTTATGTTGATCATTCAAACATTATGCTTAACAATTTGTGCATTGCAGTCACTCAAACGTTTTATTATCAAACGGATCGACTCAATGTGACACCCGAATATAATTCTGTTCAACGTTTAAAACAGATAACAAGATGGGGGAGGGTTTCCAAAAAAAAATTCTTATTGTGATTCTAAGGGGAGGGTATTTTTTTGCTGTCATACTATTCTTCTATAATAAACAATCAAAATGGGGAAATGAAATGGGGTTGATTGATAACACCTCCAAAGCCTATATATATCTCATTGTTAATTTTGATTTTGATTTAAGAACGTTACTAACCTTCCTTTTTTTCTTCTAAGATGGACTTGAATTCTAATTTGAACTTTTAAATTGTAAGTAGAAAGAAGAGTAGCAGCAATCAAAAGTTTTGATATATTATATAATACTTTACTGATGCTTATTTATAACTTGTATAACTTGTATAACTTGTATAACTTGTATACTTATAGTTTACTTGCAATTTACTAAATCTGAGGTAATCTGTGATTCATCTCATCTAAAGATTAATTTTTTTTTGATCAAATAATATTTGAATCACGTCGGATCGGTCAATCGACTACCCCGACCCGGGTCAGCCTTGATTTAATTGTGATCCGATCGTGCAGTTTATAATTACACCGAATTTAACCTTTTTTTTTTTTGATATGCGATTCAGCCAAAAAAAAAAAAAATAAATAAATTAAATAAATTAAAAAATAGTTCGATTACAGTGTTTGTATAAAATAAGGTTATTTCGCCATATTATTTTGAATTTCTTGGCTTTCATAAATTTTGTTTGAATACAAAAAATTTTATTATTACCAATTAGAATTTTCCTTCCCTGACACCCATCCAATCTCACGAGGATAAAATCACATGATTGTAAATAATATTAAATTAATTTTCACGTCATTCAATTTTTATCGTTCAGCCCCGAATAAAGGGCATGCATATGCTAGGTTTGTCACATGACCGTTCATTGATTGGTACCCAATATATAAATTCAATAATAATATATATTTAAAGCTAGATCCAAAAAACATTGAACGTCATTGACACAGATTTATACATTTCTTTGGATGCATTAAAAGACAAAATGTCGCTAAATAACCTTTTTTTTTATTCATAAAATATATACTGTATATGTATATATTTTTATTTATAAATAAATGCTAATTACATTATTTCCCATTTAATTTACAATTCATTACGCTAATAATTAATAACGCTAAAAAAACTTTCTTGGTATACATATGTCAATGAACCCAATAACTTGGTTTAATTCGGATTCCAATAGGCTTTCTAACTGATATTTGTTTATAATTAGAACTTTTTTTCACACATGGATTTACCTGCGAATTGCGACAATTATAATAAATAAAACGACGACAGAAAGTACGTTAGTAGATATTTATAAATTGTACGTAATTCGGCAATATGCAAGGTAATTTACATTACATATTTTAAAAACTTACAAACTTTTCTTGGCATGTTTATCTGGATATTTAGGTATAATTGTGGTTCACAATAAATATTACTATTACCCATTGGGAGTATAGTTTAAAATAGTTTGTTTCCTTAAAAACGTAATAATATGGTCGGGTGCGTGGCGTATACAGTGGCTAAATAAAGTTAAAATATCTATTAATATTTCCAATTTTTTTGTTAAAAGAACCAAAAAATTCGTAATTTTTATAGCTTTTTCCGATTAAAGACTTAAAGAATTTTTATCTCGTTTTAGAAGACGCCTACATTAACTCAACTATTATTACTTTGTTGAGCCGATAAAAACGATATGTACATGAAATTATGCAGTTGATACAAATAAAAAAAAAAAATTGGTACATTTTAGGTTTTACGAAAAGTAATCATGCATAATGAGTAAGGATAGATTGTTTTAAAATTTTTTTTTTTTATTATTATGAAATTATATTAATATCCCAATATTTTAAATGTTTGCTACTCTTTTTTTTTTCTCTCTTTTTCTAACTTTTTTTCAATTCAATCTTTCTTGTTGATAGTGGAGAAAAATTTAATATTTAATAATAAAAAAAAATATTTTTTTTTCAAGTAAAAAACTCTTTTTGATTAAAATCAAAATCATGCCAAAAATACTGAGTAACGAATGGTTTATGGACAAGGTACTTCGTCTACTTTGACTGTGCCACACTGCGGATTATAATTGATCACTAAACTTTTTATTCTTAATCTAGTGGGCAAAATTAAACGATTCAATATGGACAAAATTATATATTATTGTATCAGTTATACAGACTATAATAGTTATTGCGTTAGAAATTCGAGTATTTAATCGAAACGATTCGATAAGAGAAAATGTCGAAGAATTCGGGAATAGTTCGACGTGTAATATTCAATATAGTACAAATCGAATGTTACGTATTGAACAGGAAAATGTTATCTTTATTATCTTTCAACTTTATCAATTATGGTTTTGCTTTGATGCGGTAAGATATAAAGTTGTTTTTATAAAAAATAATTTATTATAACTATTAACATATACGATATATGTATATTTAGATTTTATCTCAAAATACGATTCAACTCATAGCAGTAACGATCATGAATGGTATTTGTGCAGGATATAGCATTGTATATTATTTTGTTTATATTTTAATTTGCGTTTCAAGATTTAAATGAGAAAAAAAAAAAACAAAGTAATTCAAATTTTTATTTATAGGTTCAAATTGAAGAAATTAGAATTTGGTACATGGACTTAAATAAATCTTGTTCAAATGTTTTCGAAAAAGCGTCAAATCCAGCAGGATATGATATACCTTTAGTAATAACATTAATAATATTTGCAACAGTTATGGGATTTCTTGCATTTCAACTATATCAACAATTTGGATGGATAATTTATCGAAGGATCGGAGGAAGCATCGAAATTCAAAGTAAATAAATTTTATATCTTATATAGTCTTATAAATTATAAATTTCTAATTTAATTTATTATACTTCAATTTTTTAATAATTAGCAATATACAGAAGACAACTTATACTTGTGATTTTACTTAAAATTGATCTATTCTTTTTATTATTATTTTCCATTGAATCTTGGATGACATTTACTTTGGAGGATCAAACAGAGAGACTTGAAAGTCTTTATTATATTCCAAAAACAATTTATTATTATCATAGAGTAGTTACATTTTCAATTATTTTCTTAGAATTCGTTGTATATCGAAGTGTAAGTATTTTTTTTAAAAAAATTTTATTCGTGTAAATTAAGTTTTTAAAATATATATTAATAATTATTTTTATTATTATTACAGTTGAGAAGGGAGCGGAGATATGGAATGTTGATTTTTATATTTTTATGGATCGCTGTAGTTGTAGATTTAATTTTAATATTGTGCTTTTCTATTAGAACCGCAAGAGATAGTTGGTATTTCCTCATATGTTTTGGTAAGTTATCTTAAATTAAAATCACCCAGATTAAAAATAAAAAACATTAAACTTGTATGTTTTGCGTTGAAATATTAACATGAATTATTTTTTTTTTGCTTTCGAATAGTTATTTTTTCTATCATGGTCTCGATTGTAAGTATTACTGTTATTTTTATTTTCGTATAATAATTTTGTCTAATTAATTAATCAAATGTATATTATTATTAAAAACAGATTACCTGGGTATATAGCATTATAGTTACCAAAGACTTTAATAGAGGGTTAAAAGAAATTTGTGAGTATTTTAATTACTATTTTAAAATGTCATGTGTTAACGTTTTTTACAATAAATGCGACCCATCGTTACATGAAAATTTGTGTAATTATTTATTTGTAACGCCACCTTTTTTTTTTTAATAGGGTATAAAAAAAACTCGGAGTTTCCAATGGATGACAGGCATAATGTTATATTGAGACAACTTTCCCTCGATTAATGCTTATTTAAAAATTATATATGTATATATATATCTATATATATACAGTATATATTACTTTATAATTGTGGATATTTACTTTTACTTTTTAATGTATTGTATAATTTGAGAATGATTTTTTTTTTCTATTACTTTTTTTTTTCATTAGAAAAAATTTTGTCATATAAAATTTATTAAAAATATACGTAATTAATTAGTCTAATTTAATTACAATAAGTTTTAGTATTCAGCAGATAATAAATCAGATTTACTAACCGTATATATAGACTATACTATTATATATGCTAAAATAGTATAAGTCTCTGGTAAATGCGGTAACAGCCCAATAAACTCATACTACTCGTAAACTTTTTTTGACTGTTGTAATAAAACTTAAATTCCAATTACAATAAAATCAAACCACTTTTTTTTCGAAAAAATAAACTACTTTTTATCAAGAAAAAAAATTGAAATTTGAAATGAAACCAAAAATTAAAAAAAACCCTAGTTTATGAATTATTCGGTCAAAAAATATTCAAAAGATGTACAAAAAACTGCCACAATCAAAACTACAAACGAAACACATGAAAACACTCATGAAACTAAACAAAAGCTCAAAATTGACGTTCCAAAAGAATATCATGGAACCATTCATGAGAGATATCTAACTACATCTTCTCCTCTATTGATTCAAAATGCTGTCATTCTGAAAATAATCAACATTGTTGTTATTGTATCTATTGTCGTTATTACGCCATGTGCTACTATTGTGGTGTTAGTTATTGTAAGTATTGTCGCTATTGCTGCGTATTTTCTACGAATCCTTATGTCGATGTGTCCATTGTTGTCAATGTTCAAAATTCTTCGATAATGGCGTAACTCCTGCAAGGTAAAATCAATTTATTTACGACGTGGCTGGAACGCATAAAAATTGTTTTCAAGACAATATTCTTTGATTTATAGAGCACGCATGTTACTTAAAACGTCCACCAAAGTTCAGCAATTAAAACCTAAGGAAGAAATGGTTTCCGAGTAGTAGTAATACATAAGGAAATTTACGGTATTGTGTATGTGCTACGTTTGTTTAAAAAAAAAAATTTATTTATTTTATTTATAATAGTCAACAAATCATGCACAAAAATGTATGAGGTATGTATAATATTTTCGTCACGTTATTTATTACTGATGAAGCACATAAAAAAAAAGTTTTTTTTATTCTTTTAGAAATTTAATTTGTCAATATTTATGATGTTGGAATATTCTTATTTAAAAATGATGCATTGTTTTATTCTTTTTGTAGTTAACCAATGAGCGAACGTTGAAAGAAAGAAGTTTTATTTGCAAGATTTATTATTCAAAATAAATGACCGAATCAATATTATGTTAAAATAAAATAATAATCCACCAAAACAATGTGATTATAACGATTAAGTTGATATAAAAGTGCTTATAAGGTTTGTGAGGTTTGCGAGGTTTGTTAACTGAACAACTGAACCAAAATTCTAAAAGTAAATAATCCACCAAAACCAAAGCAAATGTCAAATTTTTCAAATTCAAATCGCCAATATAATTAACGACATAATTATTAATCACACCTTTTTTTTTTATAACAATCTATAATTTCTCGAAAGCATCGTTGGTTCGATATCGGGATGAAATTCAACATGAAGATGTTCTTCTTGTTGTAGCTTGTCCCAAGTGTCATAACTAATACTTGCAGTCCCTTCAATATCTAATAATTTCAAATGATTCTTTGAATGTTTCAATATAACTTCAATATGATCATCTTTGATAAGATTAGTTAATTTTAATTTAAGCACTTCAAGTTTTGCGCGAGATTCTTGAAAGAATTTATCAAGAGAATCATAATGAAATAACCATCTAGTAAGAACGTTCAATACGCGTAGAGAAGATGGTAAATGTTTACCAAGTATTGGAAGAAAATTATTAACATCCTCAGAAATAATATTATTATTTTCTGTTTCTGCATCTATAACCAACTTTTCAAGTTTTGTATTTGAAGATAAAATTGGTAAAAGTAATGGTAATAAATTATAATCAGGTATAATATAGGTCGAAAATTCCAACAAATTTTTACAATTTTGAGAAATTATTTCCAATAGATTAATTAATTCATGATAATTAATATCTTCGGCTCTCACATCTAATACAGTTAATCTATTATTTGCCTGTAATATCATAAAAGTTAATAATGGAATTTGAATTTTAGATTTAAATATTTTCAAATTAAAAAGACCTCTCAAATAATAATTTCCCTCAATATTATCATCATTAAAATTTAAAGGATGATTTGATAAATTACAATATTCAAATTTTAATGTACCCAAATTTCTCAAATTTTTAATAGATTTTATAAAATTATAATTATCAAATTCTACAAATATAAAATATAAAATTTTAAGGGAATGATGAATTTCATTTGTTAATTCTAATATATCAAGTATACCATGTTCACCCAAACCACCATTTCTAACATTTTTAATTATTAAAGTATTTAAATTTTTTTGTACTTGAATTAAAGTACATAAATTTTGTAATTTACCCATTTCATTAGGATATTGAATAATATTTTTATCAATATAAATTGAAATAAGAATTTTTTCAATTTGTTTTGAAATCATTGAACAAATTAATAAAAGTTTTGGATTAAAATCTCCAATACATTCCAATACTTTTAATTTTTTAAAACAATTATTAGCATTATTATAAGTTAATAATTCCCAATTAATCATATTACATCCATTATGAATTGAACCAAATAAATGATTATTAAAATTAAAATTAAAGATTAATTGAGAAATTTTTGGTGAATTTTTAACGAAATGTTTTAAAAATATTATTATAATTGGTAAAGTATTTAAAATAGAATTTTCTTCAGATGTAATTAATGACCATGATGATACACAATTAATTGCTTGTGCCACATCCAATTCTCTTAAAAATGAAACGTAATTGAATAATGATTTCGTTGGTATTTCTTCCTCTTCTCTTTCACGTAAATTTTTAATTAATTTACGTTCTTTACTTGAAAATCCTGAAATATAAACTTCTATAAGACGTTTTGATGGTGTATATAAATGTAATAAACTGAATGGTCGTTTCCAGAGAAATGGAATTGTTAATTGACACCAATCCCGATTTACGAGAGCGCATCTGTATAACATTAATAAATTATTTGAATGAAATTCCAAGATTCTAAAGAGACAAAGTGATGGTAAATTTTGTGCCATTTTACTATTTTTTTTTTATGGGAATAAAAATAATATATATATATATATATTCCTATAAAAAAAAAAGAATGTTGGATATAACAAAAAAAAGAAAAATCCGAAAAAAAAAAAATTAAAATGGTAATATATATTTGACGCAGGGCTTTGTAATACAAATATCCTAAAACGTTATAATATTTGTTACATTCACTTTACAAAGAGAAAGATCCAAGGCCGAATAGAATGATAATCAAGTGACATATATAAAAATTCGTGACGTGATGTAATGATGTACAGTATGTAGATTTTTATGTGATAGGTGATTACCAAAAAAAATTAGTGACTAAAAATACGCAAGCTTGACGTATCCTAACTTGATCCCCCAAAATTTTACTTTAAAAAATATAAAAAAAAAATTTTTTTCTTTTCGGCCCTATTGTTTTGAATATTTTTAAAAACCTGCTTTTTTTGAAAAAAAAAAAATATATTCCATTTTTTTTTTTCCGCTTTGCTATATTTATTTTATAATTTTTTTTTTTATTTTTTTTTTTGCAAAGCCCTCTCCTAACTAGCTGCTGATCAAACCTTTGCAAATTTGAAATAAATAAAAAAAAAAAAGAGGTAAGGTATTATTGTGTTCTATCTCTATTAAGGATTAAAACGGGAAAACAAAGAAAAAATTTTGTATAAAAACCAATAAATTTTAAATTAAAAAAAAAATTATATAATATAAATATATATAATATATTTATATATATATTGTATATATATATAAAAAAACGTTTTATTTAAAACAAAACCTATTTGATTCCAATGATTTTTTTTCCTACTTTTTCTTCTATTTCTTATTTTTTTCGATCAACTACAAGGTTGTAAATCGTAATTAAGTTACTCCAGAAAAGATCTTCAGTATAATCTTTCCCAGAAAAAATTCTCTCTTTCTTCCTTTAACACACTTTCTTTAAACAATGAGCAACGAACAAGAAATTATAAATTCCAACGGAAAATTATCTTCAATTCTTAACCCAACTCCAACTATCGATACGAGCGGTCAAGAAACTTCTCAAGAAACTCAAAATAAAGAAACGACTACAACTAACGGCAGCGGAAAAACTTCACAAAAAATCAAAAAAGAATCCAAAAATTCTAAAGAACCATCTTCTACCAAAAACGAAGGTTCTACTACTACAAAGACTACAACGAAACAAGCGGCAACTAAAGGTTCTAAACAATCTAAAACAACTTCATCCAAAAGTTCAGCAGCAGCTTCTTCCAAAAGCAAAACTTCTAAAAGCTCACGTAAGAGACCTCTTTCCCCTTCGGATTCAGAAGAAGGAAGAGAACCTTCACAAGAGCTTGAAAGATGTCAACATCCTAAACATGATGAATATATGAAAAATAAACCCCCTTCTTTGGTTGTTAATAATAAACGGGCCAAACTTGATAAGCCACCTAAATTAGTTGGTATGCCTAAAAGATTAGAAGGTGTATTGAATATAGATCGTGGCACTAAAATGTGCAGTCGATGTATCAATCAAACTGATAAAGACCCACAGGTAATATATAAAAATTAGTATTACAAACATTTAATATAAACATTCTCCTTTTTCTTTTCTTGTGAACAAATCTTTTCGAGAATTATAAATTTTTTAACAAAAAAACTTGGTTTAAAAAATTCTTTCTTTCTTTTTTTTTTAATAGTATACTTCACATAAGAAGTATGTCTCACGTAAGTCTGTTTACAAGAAGAACGAACGTTCAAGGCTCATGATCGACATGACCGGTAAATAATGAGCCACGTATTCACTTTGATTTTAGCTTTACTTGTTAAGAAGCAATGGAATGATTCACAAACAAAGCCCACTTTTAAGCTTCTGCGTAAAAATAAAAATTTTAATGAAAGAATGTTTTTTGCATCCTTTTAAATTTTTCTTCTTTTTCTACCTTTATTATATAATTCTTTTATTATATTTTTCATTCATTTTTTTTTTTACATTTATAAATATTAGAATTTGCTTATAATGCATATGAATATCAATATTCTCTTTCCTACGCTTGTATACAATATAATAAAAACAGTATAATTACAAAAAGTCGTCACATTGTCATGTTGTATTGTTTTATCAGTGTATCAACTTTTAATAAATATGTTTGTAAGGTTAAAATAAAAAATTATTATTTAAAATTTATTGCTGTATAAAAATAAATAAATAAATAAATAAATAAATAGAATAAATTTCTAAATTTTATTTTCTCATTTATCGTCGATTGAAAGAAGAAAAAAAAGAAAGTCATGTATGCATTTATCCAACTCTGAATATGATTTCCGAATATAGGTTCATTTTATATAATCATTATCCCATTTTTTTTTTGTTTGTACTTTTATTTATTCCTTTTCGATATATATATATATATATATATATACACGTAATCATTCTTTTGTGGCACAGATTTCGTTATCTATTTCATATTTAGTGAAAAAATTTACAATGACCGTATAAAGTCATTTAAGTCCGAATGTTTTTATTTCCTTTAAACCTTATTCATATTTTTTTTTTTTTTTCCTTATTACTTTTTTACCCAGGTTTTTCCAATCGACCAGGAGAAAGTAATACTTACCATAACAAGTTAAAAAGTTATTAAAAAGGTTTCAAACCCAAATCAATAGTAAATTTGGTAATGATCCGCAATATATCATTGAAAAATAATAATATTTTATTATTTTCCGATTGGTTCATTAGTGTTTTTTTAGAAGATTGGATTGGTCTCCCTCTCTTTTTTTTTTATTATTTAATTTCTTTGTCAAAATTATTTATTCAACTTCTCATAAAATTTATTCTCATTTATTTTAAAAAAAAGATTTCAGCTTCGATAAACAATTATTATAACGATTAAACTATATCTTTCATCATTTACAACATAATTTCAAGTAATTTGAGCGATGTATGAAATGAGTAACAAAATTTGTAAAAATTGGATCAATGACAATCATTTAGGGAAGGTTATGAGTCATTCAATATTTCAATGAAATGATGTTGAATGGTGATGGACTGATGGTTGGTTATTCTTTCATTTACGGAGAAGAGGAAAACAATGAAGTGATTGGTTCATTAGATTCAAAAATTGAGAGAGAGAGAGAAAATTATATTGAGTGCATGAAAAAAAGGTACGAAGGTTATGTATGAAGGATTTTCTTACGCACAAATTTTATTTTTTAATTTATCGCAACATACAGTATTTAAAAATGGTTTAGCTTGGTATATTTGAAAAAAATATCAAATTACCGAACGAATTCTGGATGATTTTAAGACAAATACTGGATATCAACCGGTCGAATAGAATATTTTAATCACAAATTAGTAGAATACACCATTTTGAAGAAAACGACGATAATGGTGATAAATTTTTGATACGTTTTTCGTTATAAATATCAACTGAAATTAAAACTTAGTTTATTAGTCATATGTACGGCATTGGGCTGAAGAAAGATATCGAAAACTTTCTAACCTGATTAAAATAGTATCTACAGTATCACGTGAATATTTCATGACAAAAGTTTTCCAACAATGAATTGCGAATATCAATTTTGTTTATCAGAGGGAAACTTATTACATATTTGTAATATGAATGCCAAAAAGAACGAACTGTATATTATTAATATTATTATATAATGTATAGTTTACTGCAATAAGAAAATTTTTTTTTTGTAACAATAGGATTTTAATGAATACTTATCAGTATCTTATCAAATTTGACGTAATCGTAATAGTTATCACAATCACTTTTTTTTTTTGATTTTCTTATCCTCGAATCATATTATTTCTTCATATATATACCATATATTCATAGTTTTTATTGAAGTTTACTACGTTCCAAATTTTCCCAATAATTTCACCTTCACATTTGTTCCTTATAATGCCTTATTATAAATCTATAAGATCTCCTATACAATCAAAGCAAAGACCTGAATTGTTTTATTGTGCTTTAATATTCGTCGTTGCTGTATTTATATCTTTTATTCTTTTGGATTTGATTTATCCGTTTCCCGAGTCTGTCATATCAGGAGATCCTTGGTGGAAACATAATCATAGAATAACTATCGTCACAGTTATAAACAACGTAAATGACATCGATATTGCCATGGTTGATACTGAAAAAGAAGTGAATAATAATAACATATCTACGAGTATTCGAAATAAAAAGAATTATTCTGAAAAGTATGGGTATAAATTTGTTATTAAGGGAATTGAAGATTGGGATCGAGAACCGGTAAATTAAAATAATTAAGTAATTTTTTTTGTATAAAAAGAATACCAGATTACCGGACTATTCGTATACTAATCACAAATTAATAAGATACACCATATTGATAATGGAGATAGATTTTGGTTGATTTGGTTAATAATTTTTTTTTTCTGTTCCTTTCGTAGTCTTGGGCCAATATACCAGCTTTATTAAAAACTATGAATGAATATCCAAACTCTGATTGGCTATGGTGGATAGATTCGGTAAGACATAACAGACTCTAACTCGATAATAAAATCTTATAAATTAATAACAATCTTTTTCATTGAATTTATCTCGATAGAATTTATTCATTTCGAATCCTTCTATTAGCCTTACATCAACTATACTTCATGATATTACATTATCACCGGAATATGATAATAAAGAAATTATAATCGGAAATGATTGTTTTGGTATTAACACAGCATCATTTCTCATACATAATTCACATTGGTCTAGAAAATTTTTGAAAACCGTTTATAATCCTAGATTATTCAAAGATTTTAAATATGAAGAAACTGTAATGCAAGCTTTGATCGATTTTGAAGACATTGAAGTGGGTTCAAGAATTTTATTTGTCCCTTTGGTAAGTTAAATTAAAAGACGTTCTTTTAAAAGGGGGTTAAGAATTAACACACATTAATATATATATATACTTTTTCTTTCAATAGAGAACTTTGAATTCTTTACCATTAAATAGTAGTTGTGGTAATGATTATCGCTATAAGTGGCATAAAGGTGATTTTGTTGTGAATTTAGCTGGATGTGAAGTACAAAAAGATTGCGAAAACCGATTCAAGGAAGTCATGGATTGCTTAAAATAAAAAAAAAGACTAAAATATAACTAATAAAAATACAACAAGTAAAAATATAACAAGTAAAAATATAAATTTTCTATTTTTGTTATAGTCATAGGGTTTCATAGAACTTTATTTGGTATAATAATAATAAAATGGCACAGAAAAAATGTTTTTGTGAAACGGATCATCACTTGATCACTTTCAGAATTTCGGATATATAAACGTAAATAAAGCTCCTGATCTTCTTTCAGTTTCTTAATTAGTTTCTTTTCTAATTTTTTTTTTTTTTACTCAGTAATATAAACGAAAAAATTTTTAAAATCTTTTCTAAATTCTTTCAATATGGCTGAATTTTACTCGAGCCTTTCAAAGGACTTAACGATGTTATTAACGGATACATCGGATTATAATATGATAATTACTGTAGGTGAAGAACCTGATGTAAAAAAATATCATGTTCATTCAAATATTTTAAGAGTTAGAAGTAAATATTTTTCTAAAGCCGTTAGTGCAGATTGGGCTAGAAAAGAAAATGGGATCATTTTATTTAGTAAACCAAATATTGAAAGCGATGTATTTGATATTATATTAAGGTGAAAATATTTATTTATTTTATTTTATTTTTTTTTTGAATGATGTTTTTTTGATAAATCTTTTTCTTTTTGATTAAAAGTTGATTACAAAAAACAAATTCATTTTTTTATATTTTTCAGGTTCATTTATGGAGGAAAGATAAATTTTACCGATAAGATGAGTTCATCAAAAATATTTGATTGTTTAAAAGCAGCAGATGAATTATGTCTTGACGAATTTTTAGATTATGCACAAACTTGTCTTTTAGGACGTAAAGATTGGTTAAAAGAGAATTTATTTTTATTGTATCGGGATACATTTCCACCAAGTTCTTTAACGAAATTACAAGAATATTGTATAAATCAGATTCGAAAATATCCTTTAAAATTATTTATTTCACCAGAATTTATTACATTACCAAAAGTATGTTTAGAAGAATTGGTTCAAGATGATCTTTTAGAAATTAGTGAATTACAATTGTTCGAAAAATTAATTGAATGGGGTATAGCTAATACAGAAGATTTAACTCAAACAAATATTAATAAATTTAGTGAAAAGGATTGTGCTTCATTATCTCTTACACTTGATAAATTACTTAAACATATTAGATTTTATCATATGGAGAGTAATGATTTTTATTTAAGAGTTACACCATTAAAAGCGGTATTGGGAACGAACTTTTATGATGAAATGGAAGTTTATCATAATAAATCAACGACAACTTCTACAAATGGAACCTCTATTCCTAAACCAAAAAAATTCATTAATTTATTACCAAATCGTGGAGCGATAATATCTAAAATAATGAATTTACAACAAGGAGCAATAATTTCAAGTTGGATCGATAGAAAAGATATAGGACAAACAGATAATGTTTATTATACTACGGAAAATAATCCTTATAATTTCAAATTATTATTAAGAGGTAGTAAAGATGGTTTTTCATCTTCTACTTTTCATAGTAAGGTTAAAAAATGTAGAAGTACCGTCACACTATTTAAATTAAAAAATCATGATGATTTTTTTATTGGTGGATATAATCCGGACGAATGGGATGCTCCTTATTGGCCTAAATTTAAACATAATGGTAACGCATTTTTATTTAGTTTTTCTTCAGATGGAAGTACTAATAATAATAATCAACGAGATGAAATTCAACCCGAAAATGTGATTACTGATAAACAAGGAAGAATAGCGAGAATAAAAAAAGATGAAGAGAAATTTGCTTTAAATTTATGGAGAAGTACCGGTCCAAGTTTTGGTAAATTTGATATTTTAATGCAAACTGGTGGGATTAGACTTAAACATAATAGTTATGTTCCAAATGTTATACCTTTACAAGATGGTGAGAATTATAAAATTGAAGAATATGAAGTATTTGAGGTTACTCAAAAAGTTGATGATAGTGGAGGAGAAAAAGATAGGGAAACTAATGATGTGGTTGTTGAAATACATGAATAACGAGATAGCCAGTAAGTGAAGTGTCATTATAGAGTACAGTATTTTATTTGTGTTTGTATTTTATTTTGTATTTTATCGTTTTATATATGTATAAAAATATATATTACTACCACCTTTTTTTATTAATGTCATTAATTAGATGTTCTCAATCAATTTTTAGAATAATTAATCAAGTTTTTTTAATTGTATATTATGTAAATCTATTCATTCTAATGTCTAAGATGTATCTTAAAAAAAATAAATAAATTAAATCTATCGAATAATCGCGTTGTAATTACAAATTAATTTTTATGGCGTAGAATTATCAAAACATCTTGATCTTCAAGTATGATCAGCTTCATTCGGTAGGGCTTTCTTTTGTCGTTAGCTGTACGGCTTTTTTTGATTAAATTATCATAATTTTTTATGATGTTCTTTGTTCATCGTAAGCGTTTTTTATTCAAGCATCATCCAATTCACAATTTTACCAACAAATCAAATTTATTCTCATTGTAAAGTAAATACTTTGGAATCTACGGCGCTAAATCTATTAAATTATAATCGTGGTTGAATCTACACTCTACAGTAATCTTGAAATTCTCGCGTCTCTCTGTGGATATATTATACAGTATATCAATCAGTTGTTTTAGGTGCCGGTCCTGCCGTCAACAAAAACCTGGATCTCTTGAAAGTTTTAATCGATTCCAAACTCTATTAAAGCACGCTAAACATAATATTACTATAATAATTAAAGAAGTTATTAATGCTGCTATAATGAAAGGTTGATATTTACGAAATTGTTCATATTGATCTTCGCTTTTAACAACATTGATATTTAATAAAACTATTAATAGTATATATGTGGAATTATTAAGAGGATTTTTTTGAATTTTTTTAATTTTATTCATGGTTTTTTTACTTTTAACAAGACTCAAATAAAAAAAAGAGATGATTTGTTTTTTTTTTTTGAAAAAAAAATATTTTTGACGTTCAAATCCTTTATATATATTTTTCTTTTAAA